TTCCGTAACTTGCTAAGAGAGAACGGCCGACGAGTAGACGTAACGATAAATCCTGGCTCGCTTGTTGCCAAAGGTTCGCTCGAATGCATCACGGAACAAATGGAAACGGCCGAACGTGTCTTTCATAATGGCACCTATATCGGTACCGGGGGCTACGTTCGTTTCAAGTTGCTCAACGAATTTCCTTGGGATAATTTTCAGAGCTCAGAGACGGGCAATCCGATGCGTATCGATAAAAATACAGCTAAAACGCTCGCCAGTCTCATACCCAATTCCTTATATCAGAAATCGACGGAGCATTACAATTCGACCCAAGGCACTATTCAACTGCCCTATTCGTTGCAGATGATATTCGAATGGACTAAATGTTGTGGCAAATCGGTAATTTTCAATTATATGGCTGCCCCGAAACGTAAATTGTCCCAATACCTTGACGATGAACATTTACCGCCGAATAGCAAACAACCGCGATCGTAAATCGGAGAGCGAAGATCCTCAGGACAATCGTTTACCCTATACCGAGATTGGAAAAACAACAACCAGGGTCATCCTCTATCAGTGTTTGAATGCTATAAGTAATTAATAAAGGTTTTATTCAGCTTTAGTTGTTTGATTTCCTGACCATAGGCATACATATTCTTTGTAGTTTACGGACAGTAGCAAAAAGGCCGTTTTACATTCGTCAGCATCGCAAGTGCATTGGCCTTTTTGCTACTGTCCATATCAAATTTCCTTGTGACGATCAACGATCAACGGCCGACGGTGCAACGTCTCCTTTTCTGGCGATTACTGTCTAATGCCCCGTCAGCAGGTTTATATTACGATCTGAGATTACGGTGTAATATAGCATCGTCCGACGGTGCAACGTCTCCTTTTCTGGCGACTACTGTCTAATGCCCCGTCAGCAGGTTTATATTACGCTCTGAGATTACGATGTCGGATGTCGAATATAGGAATAAAAGAGGTTAATATACTTTGAACTCTGATTTTGCAAATTGAAAAGGGCAAGCATGTAATCAACATCCGAGCTGGGAATATATCGGGGCGTATAAGAGATTCGTGCTCGCCGGAAACCCCTACGAGTATCTACGAAATAACACATTTGCAGTGAAACTAAGCCCACGAGTAAAAGAACGATGAACAATGTGAAGAAAAACATTATGCGAATTCACCTTACAAAAAACTTGAAGCGGTACCTATGTTTCGGATACCACGTTGACATTATAAATCCGATCTAGAGCAGTTACCGTTAAACCGACCCCAAATAGTACCTTTACTGCAACATAAACTAAATTTCTAAACGTTTTGCACATATTTGTGGTCGCTGATTATTGGTTTAAATAGCCCTCAGGTATCCACTGTAGGTATCATTGTATTAGCACGGTCCATTTAATATGGTTTACGTGGTAGGCTGCAAATTGGGGCTTTATCCCACCTTCCGAAAAGATCAAGAGAATTTCATACAGTTGCAAGTGTTCGTGCCGGAGCAAATGATAGCGTACCTGGACTTTCTGCCAGTTATGAATGGAATATCTCCGCTTCTGCACATGTTGAAGTTGATCAGGCCGGAAGTGACAAATAGACTATTACTTGTGCGAAGAAATTGGCCTCTTCACTGTTTGTGCAGTGGGTATTTGGAATTGTTCAAAGAGTTGATGAACTATTTATTCGTCAACGATTTAGCAAACGGTTGGGGACCATACAAAAATCTTTCGATGCCTATGCTGTTCGTAGATGAACTAACAACCAGAAAGTTTTTGCCGAACGAATCCAAACAAGCATATGCAGATCAATTGGGTCTAATTTTAAACGTTTTACGAGCTAAATGTTCAATCAATACTTTTTACGACGACAAGAGAGACTTTTCACCGAAGCGTTTATGCGGCCTGATGATTAAATACCACGTTCATAACTTTTTGAGTACGTGCGTATTTGATTTCTGCCGTACGTGTACGAACGGAGAAGCAAGAGCCTACTTACAAACCATGTATAGCACGCTGGATTTCAAATGTACAATTTGCGCTAGTATTATATCCGAATAATCAGACGATTGTATACTATATTGTCACTAAAGTTGAGTTGAGCTAGTAATACCTGTCGTTTTTATTTGATGTACAACATTTAATTTTCGGCTATTTTCAGCTATTGTGCACCTCTAACTTTGGTCATGCTGACCTGATTTGAAATGGTATCAGTATAACACGCTCAAGGAGCAAGGGTAAAAGAAAACACGTTGGTATTTTATTTGGGCATTGAGATCTATTGACAAACAGAAAAAAAACGGAACGGCTACTTCGTTAATGCGTTCTCCAACGATTCGGTAACATTTATTTTAAAGCTAATTGGGCATTTACATACAGGACAACATCGTACATTAGGACTACAATAGATACAACAAGGTTCGTGTCCACACGGTAGGAAACGGCATCTCAAATAGTTGCGTTGGCATCTGACGCATACAGGTGAAAACTCGTACACTTTCAAATCGCTGCTACAATAGTTAAAGTCGAACATCTCATCGTAATTGTTCCCTCTACAATCGTGCCTGAACGATACGGGCGTCGGGCGACTTATTTGCTCTCTGATCCACTCAAGTCCTTTGTAGCATAATAAATGGTTACATAATGGATTCGCTTTAACGTGTATCAACCAGACGTTGGCGGCGTCGCTTTCTTCCCAGTCCTGTAGCCGTATTGAACACGCGGAACATTCGACTCGATCCATATAATCGGTGTAATAAAATCCACATTCCGCTAAAATATGAGGCGCTAAAAACGATCGCAAAGGCCAATCTTCGAACGTTCGTAATCTTTTTGCGTAGGAATCATTCATCATAAGGAACTCGTCATCGCTTGGAACTAGGAACCCGTTCACGTTATCGTACGATGTCATTGAAGCAGCCCAATTTTATATTTTGGGCATCAAAAACCCAGAAAATCCCACTATAGTTGAACGAATTCTGTCTCAAGCGCGGCCCAGTTTTATAGTTTGGGCGATCACAAAAGTTGAATATTTCGCAAGTGTGTCGCCCGAGATAGGCATACGTAGGCCTCGCATCGGGACATTTTGTTCATTTCGATGTACACGGTCCCTTTGAATGTACTACCTTGGCAACGGTGTACTGACACGGCCAAGTCTGCCAGCAAGGGAAACCCTACGCGGGAATGTTCCCGACCATACAGCGTGTATTCGTGCATCCTCCGATACAAAGTTAAAATTGTTCCGTCGTCATGCTCGACGTCCACGGACATTACCAATCCGTCTTCGCCTCTGTTGATTGTTTTCAAACGAAATCTGGTCCCTTTGGGTTTACAAGTGTCCGCCAAACAAACGTACGGCGCACCTACCTGGAGCGCCACCGTGATATCGTTTTCGTTAACGAGGTCTTCGTCAACTTTGCCCGGTTTCATCGTCACTAAATGGCATCTTTCAAAATAAGTTTCGGTTTCAAATAGAATGTATCTCAGTTTAAGTAATGCCATATTCAGTAAAACGACGTTGCTGTTATTTTTGGAAATGAATCGAAACTCTCGAAAAGATCCATCATAGTTGAAAAGCTGCCTTAAGCCGATTTCGGACTTTTGCAGCGTCTTCAACGTGTCGAAATTTACAGCATCGCCAGCTTCGAACTGTCTCAACAATCCCGTCAATCGTGGATCGCATTTTGAGCGCATATGTTGCTTGATAAAAAATACTCTGTCCACGTAACTAAGACATTTATACAGATCGTGTTCGTCGGCTCCGATGGCAGATAATTGATTGACGTCGCCGACTAGCGTGACAACTAAAGTATGCCGTCCGGCGATTCGTGTAAGCTCACGTAGTAAAGTCGATTGAATCAAAGATACTTCATCTATAAAGATAATGTCGTATCTTTCTTTAATACCGTCGTAATGGTTTTCTTCAAACGATTTTTCCCAACTGTCACCACTGGTCAGTTCTTCCACTGCCTCGACGTACTCATCGAAACGCCAACCGAAAGCTTTCATAAAAAATTTGCAAATCGTTTGCGCCTCAACACCGTACTCACTTCCCTCAGCAACTAATTTTTTCGATGTCGCCAAATAGAGAATTTTCCTATGTCGAAGAAAATACAACATGGTCGTCTTTCCCGATCCCGCTACGCTGTTTACCAATATAACATTCGAATCGGCATATGAACTGGATTTCGAACTGGCTTTCGAATCGGTCGTTGACGACAAGCGATCGAGAACGTTTTCAATTTCTTTGACGATATTCTGTTGATCTTCGTTGGGTGATAAACATTCATCTACCGATTCGTGTTTATCGGTTTTAATTACGAATGCTCGCTTTGGTCTTTGTAGAGCACAGCGACCCTTGTTGACGACAACGTTCGAAAATCGTCGCAAAGAAATGCGGTAAAATCGATCAGATTCCAGAGATGCGTTGAATTTCATCGTCAATTTCTCAATTAGGCTTTTTCCTTTGACCGAAAACATGTCGCGATCGATCACGATAGACCAATCATCGTTAGATGAATGATATTCCAAATCGGAGTACACCTCGATTTTCAATTCTTGCAATTGTCGTGAAATGCTCGCGTTTTGGAGAGGTAGTTGTTTTGAAAGACGTGAACGTTTAGCCGTAATTTCGTTGTCTTCGTCGTACTGCTCGTTCTTTTTCCCATCGTACAATACGAGCGATTGGTCGGAAGGGACGCGCACCAACGAATCTATAACAATTTCTCCTTTACAATTGAAAAACCAGCGCATCTGAAGGTGACTATTTTCGGTGGCAAAGGAACTAGCTGCCTGAAATACTTTTAGCTGATAAGCGGCGCCCGAAGAAAGCAGCCTCGGCGTTTTGCTCGTATCGACGTTTATGCTTATTTTCTTCTGCGGACCCATGCAACTCGGAGACGCCATAGTAGAACGTAGTTAGTTTCAAGGAGCACCAATTATAATGACCTGCTTATGTGGTTAATACTCGTTCTCATAATTTTATTTGCGTCCATTTATATGCTAATTCCGACACGACAAATGGACGATAAAACTTTGCAAACGTTTATGATGGGCATTGCGGAAGACGCACAATTAACGACGATACCCGCCGTCACCAATGTTGGCACAGTAAAAGTTTTTCCGTATTCTTCAATCAGCGGTGAAATCGATTGGGACGTCGTACTTTATTCGTTCAGCCTAGAACCGGGCAATAGCATAATTTACGAGCACGGAAGATGGCGAGCCCAATCTTTTACGTACGACTTTGAAGGTACACAATTATATCGCACCGATACTCTTACTCATGAACGTCAACTGTTTATGGAATTTAACTTGGATATGAACTTGGAACTAGTCGACAACGGCATTGTATCGAAACCGTACTGTAAACAGAAAGGTAACGTTCCAATTAGGCAAGACGAGTTTGCCCATTTTTATAAAACAACGGAAACTGGAGGAGGCTTATCAAACATTTATCAGTACGGGTACTGGGTATGTTTAGAACAGGGAGCCAACCCGACACTGGTTCTTTGCCAAAATAAGAAATTCGATTTGCAACTGGTGGCGTGTCGCGAATATAGCGAATGTGAAATGAAAAGCGATAATTATATTTGGCCGGACGTGAAAAACAGTACGAAATATTATCAATGCCAAAATGGCGTTGTAGTGCATGCATCGTGTCCCGAAGCAAGTCCTGTTTTCAATGGTTTACGTTGCATCAATCCTACGTGTTTCAATAAAACGTTTCAATCCGTAGGAGGAGGGTCACAAAAATTTGTTCTAGCGGACAATTTTCGCGTACCTAACGATGATCATTCATACTTTCTCTGTAGGGGCCAGTTGGAAGGCACAAAGATTACTTGTCCGCTAGGAGTCGATGCCTCCCGTATCAATTGCCTTTACAAATGCACAGGCTCAACTGCGTTTGTTGTCGAATATTTGGAAACGTTACAAGTTACGCCAAAAACAGTTCCCGTTGGACAAACGGCTTGCGTTGATGGCAATATTGTCAAAGTCACGTGCTCCACTATTTTAACGCGTAAGCTCGTACATGAAGACGGGACTGGTAAGACTCTATATTATTGGACGCCAGACAAATATCTCGAAAAGGGGTCATGTAAAGAGTACGATATAATTCCACCAAAAGGAGAAATGTTACAATTTCTGCGTGCCGATCCCGCAATTTCGTCCAATATTACTGGTAACGGCGACGCGTTGCCAAGATTAATTCCCTACGATTCGTTTGCCTCATTCGAGTCCGACAGGACACATTACTACAACACCGACGGTGTGAAATATGACGGAGTTCTTTTTTATTTCGGCACACAACGTTTCATTATCGATGCGAAATACTTGAACGTGCCTTCAGATACCGCATCAATACTGAACAATAATCATAACGGCGTTTGGACTGAACAATTGATAATCGAAAAAATTTCGCCGGGTTGGATCGAAAATGCGTCCAACGATTGCGATGCGGGCATCGAATTTCTCGGCTTATATTATGTAAACAAATCGGGCACGGGTATGTGTTTAGATGGTAAACCTTCCATTGATATTTGCGACGAGCACGGTCTGAAAGTCTTTGTCAATGGCTGTGGGTACTTTTCAAATTCTATCGTGTCTTCGGTCGGTGAGCGAGTAAAAGAAATGGCACGCACCAAGCAGGCCAAAATAAGTGGAACCTATAAAGGACTCTTTAGCGATTCGTTTCCGTTATGGGATATGTAATTTTTTAAGATGCCATCCGATGGAAAAAAACGACACCAACGAAATAGTACCACAAAATGCCGATTATTTGGACATGTCCACGTATGCGACACAACGTCAAAAGCTTTTTATGGCCGAGAAAATGGCAAACAAATACCCTGAAATTTTCAGTTGGTGCGATATAGTGATCCGACCGGCCATCTCACCTCAGGATTACGTTTACGAAAAAAAGTTTGCTGATTGGGCAATTTGGGTAGATTGGACTTGGACTAAAACGGGCTGCACGAAAATTAGTTGCAATCCTAGTGGCCAAAAATTCGACTGCACGGTCAAGGATGCACCTTTCGCTTTTCGATCGGGCGACACCACATGGACGGCCTGCGAGCCGGCATGTTTCTTTCGTAACGACATACCGTCTACCAGTACCGGCGTTCATTCGTTGCAGACACAGTATCACAATGGCAAATGTTATTGGGTGTCGAGCGCCATTCACGCTTGGATGACCAATCCTACGATCAGGGCAAGTACTAAATACGTGCGTCGTGTCAACACTTTAGCTACAGGGTTCGACGTATCGTACGAGGCAGATACGTACAATATTCCAACTATTAAAGGCCGCATAAACAAATATTATTGCGACGCGTATTTCCAAGAGTTAAAAGGCGACGATTGCGAAGAGCCGTGGTGGAGCGAAGTACTCGGTTATACGTTTTTGGGGCAAAGTTTGATTAAATTCATAGACCAGGCCGCCAGTCCTAACGCCGGTACACGAGATCAGGTGTCGCTCGAACCCGATTTGAAATCCCTACCCGCCTATATGCTAGACAAACATGTTTGGAAAAGACATATTAACGATTCATTCAAAATGATTAAGCCCGACGTACTATTGAGCGATTTGGGGTTTACGCCTGCCATGTTGTCCCAAGAAAAACGGGGCCATTTTCTATTTCATAATTCATCGGGCATTGTGGAACGATTTCTATTTTACGATTCCGTCGAATATACGACTAATCGTTCCTCGTCCCGAACTGAATATCTTCGATTACTAGAACCCATAGGTGAAATTGCGAAAACAAATCATCGTCGTCGTCGTCCCGTCCGTGAAACCCGAGCCACAAAACAAAATCTCTCGTCATCTTTCGACTGGGATTCGATAGGAGATCGATTCAGTCGTATCGCTTCTGTCATAATGCAAATGCTTGTACAAAAGGATTTTTACGTACAAGTCGGGGTCGATTATTCCTGGCATTTGCTCAGTCAGAAACTAGGTCCCGAGTTCAAGGAGATATTGAGTAAAGTTTTTTCGAATATGAGTCAAGTACTGGCATCTAATTCGGCTCGTATCATTGACACAATAGCCAGTCACGAAATGGGACATATTGCCTCATATTTGATCGTAAAGTCTACTACAAAGTTCACTTTAATGCTGACCAGGATGGCTGCCGTCAGCTCAACTGTAATTGGTGTCGTTGCCGATATTGCGCTTTTCCTCGATTTAGCGGTCATGTTAGGTTGGGATCCGCTTGGTCTTAAAAATCAGATCGATTCCCAGATTTTAGAAATATTACGAGAACAGGCAATAGTTACACGTTACAAAACTGGCGATCCAAACTGCGAAATAGATCCCAGTTTCTTTTCGAAATTCGTGCTCAATGAAAACTTTAACGATAATACGACAACCACACCAATGCCCGAACTCAAGTCTCAGTTTTCGTACGCCCACTCTCGTTACAAAAGTTCCAACACGTCAGGTTCGGATACGATTGCACGTCGTACCGATAGTGGTTCAATCAAAAGGCCTCGTCTCTACCATACCCAGACCCTTTTTCAAATTTCATGTCTAAGTGAATATTTAAATGCCAGAACGTCAAATTCGATTGGACAACGTTACGACTGGGATAGGGACATTGTGCGAAATACCGACGAGTGGATGACCCGTTATGAAATTTTCTCTCATCTTATGCAAAAGACCGATTTAACTAGTTACACGGAGACACTACAGGCTCGTCAATGCCTGACGGTGATCATTTTGTTCATTTTGATTACCGTCATAGCGTTGACTATATTTTTCGCCAAACCCCTAGTACTGCTTGTAGCGCCTTTAATTTGGTTATGTGCTTATGTTCGATTTGGCAATAATGAAATTCACAATTCAATCATCGAAAACCTTTATCGCGCAATAAAAGCCAAGAATATAACAAAGAAACCCTTTAGTGTACATACATATCAACGTTACAATTATATAAATTCGCTAGCCTAAAAAACCAAGATGACCACCGCTTAGTTTTTTTTCCGTTCAATGATCAATATCCCTGGCGACGGTGGTAATGACAGAAATGTCAAGCTTTCTTCCTCAACGTTTTCTGACGACAACTTTTGACGCTGTTTTCGGTTTGATTCGAAATTGTGCAACAAGGAAAGCCTCCATTAAAACGTACGCTTTCTTTTCCTTCTGTCCGTTTTCGTTGCGAACAAATTTAGTTTGCGTGTTCAATAGCCCATTTCTGGAAGTAATCGCTAAATATAGAACGTCAGGACATTCTGGTTGTTTTAGTGGACTCGTCGACTTTGCGACCAGATTTTCGGATGGCTCCCAATCGACGGAGAATTTGCTCGCCTTTTGTGCCATTACGATTCGATAAATAGGTATATCTTTCGTATTCACGTTATTGCTGGACAAAAATTGACGGACCGCTTCCTTGTTGATCATCGGGTCGCGTAACGATTGAAACCTTCGTTGCGATGTCAATTTTATCTCCTCGATACCAGCAAAACTGATAATGGCATTCACATGGGACTCACCGGCCACTTGGTCTAGACCTAGGTATCGACCCCGCAAGCTAATATATTCCACCAAGTTGCTGGCCGTGTTATTTGAGCAAGAACCTAGTATCACATGTACGAAATCGCATAATTGTTCGCGAAAACGTCGGTAAGCCTTATCGTTGACCAGTTGCTTAATACGCTCTTCTCGGGGTATGTATTTAGTCTCTTCATACGTTTCATCGCTAATAAAGTTGACCATGTCTGAAGCTTCTTCGACACCGAAATATTTTAGAGCCCCCGCCAGCGTAACGGCGGTAGTGATTTGATCGGGACCAGTAGGCCCTATACCCATGACAGGGACATCGGAGAATAGTTGTTCCCTTTTCATGGCAAAAAAATCACGTTCAATCTTGTTGGTATCTTCTACGGGCGCCGAAACGAGAATATTACTATTCCCGTTTTCGTTTAAGCGAATTTGCTCTTCCTCTTCGTTTTCAGATTGTTGTTCACTGCTGCGTGACGGGGTTGTTGTTGATTGTCCTAGTTGCGTCTGCCACAGAGACATCGATTCGCCGCTAACTTCTTCCAAGTCCGAAGCTTCATTAATATTTCTCTTACTCATGATTCTCCTCCGTTAGTAAATTGTTCACAATTTCTCCTAGTTCAAAGTCGTGAATACTTGAAAGTAATTTCTTATTCAAAGTATCTATCCTTTGCGCTATATCGGGACCTTCTGTCAATATATCGGGACCTTCTGTCAATATATCGGGACCTTCTGTCGGTATATCGGTGCGTTCTGTCGGTATATCTGATTCGAGTAAACTTGTGTTAATGTTTTCTGATTGATTTACCGTTTTGTTTCGACTTTTATAGCGATTGATTTTCCATTCCACGCAATCGCCCCTCAAAGTATCCAGATCGCGTTTTTTAAACAACTGCAATATAAAAGCCACTCTTGTTTCGACATTATCAACGTTCAATGGCAACTTTACTTTAGTAGGCAAACTGAGTAGAAACCGAATGAGAAAAATTGCTGCTGATATATCGTCCATTTTCCATATGTTACTAGGAACCCTATATGATTTAAACGTAAACTTGACACATTGTCTATTTCTTTCTTCAGACGAAACGCATTCTTGATTAAAATTCCACATGTGCTGAACGAGATTGAGTTTTAATTGTTTTTCCCACGGCGTCGCAAGTTCTAGTTGTAGACATTTACGCCATATTTGGTACAACGTACTGGCCAATCGAAAGGAAAAGAATCGTTTATTCTCGCCATTGTTACCGCTCAAGTCGATGCCGGGAACCAGATCTTTAGGGGTCAATTCAGTGTAAAGGTGTAATAAAATCGGTACGATTTCATCATTTATGAATATACCGTCGTTCCTTACATATTTGGACAAATCTAGCGAGAAGGATGTTAAATAACGTTTCACAGCTTCTAAACGTTCTCGGATAACAAAGAAAACGGGTACAATCTTTACGTTGGTCAAAGTCACTTCATTTTTTTGATAAACGACCATCTTATGCTATAAGACATATATAAACATGTATGTAAGAAAACGCTAGACTTTCGGCAATAAAAATAGTTTATTTCAAATTCACAAAAATATCAGGGCGGCGATGCGTCCAACAAGCTATACAAAATGCAAGTTCCTGTCGAAAATCGCTAAAACTACCTAGCCTAAAACCTAACTGTTTTTTGAAGAGCCCTTTCAATGTTACCGAAGTAACAATGGGTCGGGTCATAAACAGTGAATCATACCACCCAAATAATAAAACCAAGGGATCAACTATGGTTTTGAACAAATCCTTTTTGCGTCGCTGTCACGTCTCTATTTTTGGGGCATCAGATTCTCGCACGGCCAACCTGACACATAATTCGCTCTCGAATTAACAGGAGAACTGCCAAAATCTGAAACAATAAAAAAAAAAGCCAGCAGCTCCGCGGTTTGGTTATTCCTCGTTATTCTACGATAAACCATCGCTGAGATATACCGCTTTAAAGTGTGGACGACGCTCTCGTGACGTCACGAAAACTTCGTCCAGCTGAAAATTAAATCATCGTGGAAATCAAAGTATATCATAGTAGAAATCAGAGTATATATCATCGTAGAACTCAAGGTATATCATCGTAGAAATCAGAGTATATATCATCGTAGAACTCAAAGTATATCATCGTAGAAGTCAGAGTATATATCATCGTAGAACTCAAGGTATATCATCGTAGAAATCAGAGTATATATCATCGTAGAACTCAAAGTATATCATCGTACAAATCAGAGTATATATCATCGTAGAACTCAAGGTATATCATCGTAGAAATCAGAGTATATATCATCGTAGAACTCAAGGTATATCATCGTAGAAATCAGAGTATGTATCATCGTAGAACTCAAAGTATATCATCGCAGACTTCAGAGTATATATCATCGTAGAACTCAAAGTACCTATATCATCGTAGAATTCAGAGTATATATCATCGTAGAACTCAAAATATATCATCGTAGAAATCAGAGTATATATCATCGTAGAACTCAAAGTATATCATCGTAGAAATCAGAGTATATATCATCGTAGAACTCAAGGTATATCATCGTAGAAATCAGAGTATATATCATCGTAGAACTCAACGTATATCATCGTAGAAGTCAGAGTATATATCATCGTAAAACTCAAGGTATATCATCGTAGAAATCAGAGTATATATCATCGTAGAACTCAAAGTATATCATCGCAGAACTCAGAGTATATAGCGTCGTAGAACTCAAAGTATATCATCGTAGAATTCAGAGTATATATCATCGTAGAACTCAAAATATATCATCGTAGAAATCAGAGTATATATCATCGTAGAACTCAAATTATCATACAACACACATCATCCAGTACGAAACCATTGAAAGTTTCGTACTTCACGCAAAGCGTATAGGCTTTCAACACAAACATAACAATACGCAAAGCGTGCAAGCTTTCAACGTTTCCATACTTCATGTAAAGCGTACAAGTTTTCAACATAGAGCTACACGTAAAGCGTCCGAGCTTTCAACGTTTCCATAATTCATGCAAAGCGTAGAAGCTTTCAACACACAGAACAACACACAAAGCGTGCAAGCTTTCAATGTCTTAATATACTCAATGTTATTCGCTGGTGACTAAAATGTGCAAGAACAAGACACAAACTACTGACTCATAACATTATCATCAATCATCATCCCTTCCAATCATTATCAGATGTGATGGCAAAAACAGTGTGACAAAAACAATCAACACCAACACAGTGCTCAAGCTTCAACCAACATACAATGCCTTTGTAGGAAACTCCAGAATTCATGCTAGGCATCTAGCTGAAAAATACAGAAACGTCACCTATAAAAGTCATCCAGTGGAAATTACCTATAACTGCTGCAAACACCTGCCAGTGAATCTTCATTTGCCAGAGTTGAAACCTCTTAAACTATCTAAAATCAACATCGATGATCTAAACGTGGCACAGCATAGACTAAACCAATTTTCCGCTGAACTGGATAAACTTATCCAAGAACCACTCGTATCAAGACTATCCAAGACACAGTCCAGTCAACACAGAATAAGACGCAAAACGTCCTAACTTTCAATTTTTTAGTTTAAAAGCTCACATCTTTCATGTGCAGCAAAAGTCTCACATGGAAGGAAAATATAAACTTTGTAAATAAGTTAATCAAAAGCTGTAAACTTTTCAAATGTAAAAAAAAATAACAAGAACTTTTCATAGTCACTGGAAAAGGCTTTACACAGTCCGCATAGACTACCTGAAAATGGATCGGCTCATTGTCGATAGGATGCAATAAACCAAGAATAAACCCCTCATGAGTCATGGGACCCATGTTGTCTTTGTTTACAATACATTCGAGATAATAATGGTCACATTACATTTTCACAAATTTCAAAATCAGCGATTTTCTGAAAAAATTAATGATTAATTTTGAGAACGTTTTTTTTTTTTCACCAACTTCACATTCGCCGTGAAAACTGAAAAATCTCAATGGGCTTAATCAACCAACTATTAGCACGATAAATAGGAGAATTTGTTAAAATCCCGAACATCGAATTCGAGATCTAAAGGATCAAACATTCTATTATAACATTGCAGTAAACAAATCAATCTATTCAATAAAAATTGCTTACCTGGAAATCCTGGAATGGATTACGCAACTTTTTATCTTTAATTTCCAGCCTAAACCATTCCCCATGCATTCTAACGTTAATAAAACTGTGTCTAAATGACATCTTATTTTTTTTCCAGACGTTTCTAAAGTAGTTCAAAATTTGCTCAAGTCTCTATCAAAAAGTTAATTTTAATTTAAAATAAGTTGGCATCTTTCAAAATAATAAAATTTGAAAATTACTCTTTTCTAAATTTCCCCATAAAATCAAGGAAATTTTGTGTTCTTTTTTTGAATCAGACATTTCTCAACTCTAATATCATTGATAAATAAATCACTGAGTGAA